GCATTCAATAGCATCACAGTCTGCATGTGAACATTCTGTGAAGAGAAAGACTAAATTCCATGAATCAATAATTTGTTTCAATTGTTTTGGTTTACTATCAACACTATGTCTGATGAGTCTTAACTCATTAATGTTGGACATCTGGTTTAAACTCTCTCTATAAGACTCTGAGTGAACAAGGCCTGCGTTTACTTTAGCTTCAAAGAGAACTAAGCATCTGCAGAAGCATTTTCCAGACTGAGCTGGACTTTATCAGCTCTGCTGTCCTAAGTTCAGGGGAAAAAAAAAAAAATTCACCACATTATCTAAGCTTGATACAAGAAACTCTTCATTTACTATTTACATTTTGCAAAACAATACTGTTTATATAATGCTGATATCATATGTAGTATTGTAGTTAAAATTAGCCTAATACCTATGAAATATCTGTTATTACCATTACAGTGTTAGCCTGTTGACTTTTAGTACTGAGAGAACTGCCTGAAATATCTACTGTTTACAACATTTGTTCTAGCTAAAGAGGTTTGATAGAATTTGCTAATCAACTGCAACCGCTTCCCACCCATAAAACTGATGCAAAGAAGGGGGAAAAAAAAAACCCAAACAGCTAGTGAGATCCAAAGACATAAACACTTTTACTTATAACTCTGTAAAGAGAAATCCCTCTCTCTCTCCATATGGTTTATTCTTGGCTCTTAATCATCTTTTCATTGGCTTCCAGCTGGCTGTCTCACTATCATCTAGCAGTATCACTAGCAAGACCAACTTGTTATGCCAAAGCCAGGCACAGAAAGATGAGAGCTGCAGAGCAGCATGATTGGATGCAGCAGTGTTTACTAGGGGCAAATCTAGCATAAATGATGCATGGCGGGGTCACTTCCCTTGCCTCTGCAGAGCAACCGCTGCTGCGTTCCTGAAACACAGCAGCAGGTCTGCATTGGCACTTCTTAGTATCGGGAGTGAAGAACGACTACTAAAATTGAAGCTACAGGGAAATTCTGCAGGCAGAAGTGTAATTACCTGAGTAGGAAATCTGGCAGAAAACCCAAACTTCTTTCTCTCCTTAAATAGAAACAAATGCTGTGCAGTCACCATGGAGAGATTACGTACAGCATTTGAATCACGTGCAGCACTGGAATACAACACACACACACAGAGAAATGAGCCAGCCACGGTTCAGTGAAACAGCTGAGAGCCAGTTCTCCATTGACTACAACCCAGTCAGTGCCTCCCCTTCTAGCCACCTTCCCCTTCCCAGGCTTACACATACTAAGCTGTATGTCAAAACTCAGGCTCCACAGAAAGGCCAGATCTGCAAGCTGTTTGTCCCACCTGGGCGGTACTTAGAGCCTGGCATGGAAGAGCCCAAGAAGGAGGCCTTGACAAATTCATCCACTGCCACCCAGGTAAGATTTCAGATTGGGGACTAGAATAAAATCCCAGGGAAAGAAACACCATATAGTGCCTGTCCGTGAAAGTCTACTTGGATTTAGCCAAGCAGCCAATCTTTGAAGTTCAGCAGTTCTTGCACAGTCTGAAGAGGCTTTGACTCGAGTTGCAAAAATTCTCAGTTTTGGTCCATGTCCAACATCCCTGGTTACCAGTCACCTTCCACAGCCAGGCCCAGCTCCTCATCTCTCTCCCCTATCGCTCCACAACCCAGCTCGTTTTTTGTTTTACACACACACCAGTGTCCAGGCTCAGCTCCAGCTGCAGCCCCCATCTCCTGGGGTGGACTTTTCCCCTCCACTTCATCACCCTTGTCTCTAGTGGACAGCTTCCTCCTCGGGAATGCAGCAGCACCCCAGGAGGGTCACCAGAGCACAAGGGAAAACGGGCTCCCTTTTCCAACTCCAGGCACAGTGTGGGCTGCAGTCTTTCAGAGCCCTTTCGGCCTCACACCCTCCCCTCAAACTGCTACTCATGCTCACCAGTGATCAGGGCACTTCCTCTCTAGCTGCACAACTCTCCAGTTCGGTTTTCAAAGAGAAATGTGGTTGCCCATTGTCCCTGAAAAATCCACCCTGTCACTTTCCATTGTTTGAAGACAGTAGGAATGTTGTCAGACTAAAAATGTCAGAAATTTGCCTCTCTCCTTCAAATCAGCCAAGCTTTGTTTTGTTAACAGCTTCAGCCAGCCTCCACGCCTTAAGAGGGTGCTTTTTTATCTGCGTACATGTCAGTCTGGTGATACTACATAGGAATCCTTCACTTACCAAGACCAGC